GATGGCTCCATAAGCCGTACTTAAGCTCTTCTGGCATTGTTTTGACTTAGAGTGACCATTAGATTGGGTTTGTTTTGGATAATTGGGTTTACTGCGCTTATACACTCACAATTCGTAACTACAAGTGTTACAGCCCTATCACTGATCTACACACTTTACAGTTCACCGTTACACACACAGTAGGGTTCTCAGACTTCTCTAGCCGTATCCTGGTAACGGATTTCAACACAGTAATTATATCATTATCACTGTAACTGCAGCACAGATGAAGTCTTTTCACATCTGCCCTCTTGTAGCTCAACTAACTCGTTGCAGTCTCTCCTCAATCATCTGCGACCGCCGTCTCAAGACTCCCGCCATTAGTATTCCAGTCAAAGTCATATTGCGACTGACGGTCCGTCAGTCAATAAATCTTGGTGTCGAGCCCCTTATTACTCTTTTTGACAGTTACGGTCTTGTTTTTGCGGGGCGCCCTCTCTGACGAGAGGACGGGTCTGTCTTTTGTACCTGCTGCTGGCCCTTGCCAGCGCAGTCTTTCTCGGGGCCGAGTCCCTTGGGACTCGCGACCATATTTTACTCTCAGATTTGAGACTTCCCCTTTCGTCGCCTCCTATGACTCGCAGGGTCAAGGTGGAGGTATTCGACCCCGCCTGGAATCCTCGTTATATAGCCTCGGGACGAACCCACAGACCCAGTTTCCTAACAATGCCTCCATTGGTATAGAGGTGTGTTTACCTTGCCGTTACAACGGCAGTTCTCCTATTGTTGCGTGCATGTTCATTTCCGGGGAACCTGTTCACCGAGCCGTTTGCCTAGAATTGGACGTTTATTCTAGCTGAACTATTCCGGCTTTCAGGCGTCATGTCACAGTATTCACATGCGGAGTACTTCTTTCTGCTTTTAATTTAGATTCTATCCAAAAATTCAGGGACGATTAAGAGGTTCCAAGGATTCTTCCAAGGGAGTAAAGCGGCCGGGGTGTGAAGCTGACCACTCATCTCCACCTGGTGTCGAGGTTAAGGACGGTGTATCTATATATCCACTCCCCCATACGTCCTCATGGCGTGGTGCTTAATTAGTTAAGCACAGGGATAAGTCTACCTTTACCATCAAAAGGGGCAGGCGCAGGCGTCCCGTAGCCTCCTCATTGGTTAGTTGTTAGTGCTTACAGATGTTACACATGGCCTCGGACTTGGTTGGATGTGACTCAGAACAGGGACTAGAGGAGGGCTCTTGTGAACACGGTGACGAACATTCGGTTAATAGCCGAGTGACTGGAGGTTTCTCGGGAAGAGCTCAGCTCCATGGCGTTACTTACAGACTTGAACGGAACAGGCTGATGTAGACGTGACGTTCTGGAATTGTGTCAGTGAAACGAGGGGTAACAAATCTCGGCTGAGTCACCGGCTAACCTGATGGTCTTCATGGTTTTGCTCAGTCACTCTAGGAACTTCGTACAGATCACTCTCGTGTCTTGAATATTTTCCGCTAATCATTCATTGATCTTCTTCCTATCCGGTGCTACGTAGAAAACGTAAAGTTGTGCACACATAGAGGGGAGTGGAGGTATACCTCCACCACTGTTGACCTCGGCACCAGATGAAGGTTGGTGGTTAGCTACAAGCTTATACTACTTTACCCCCAGGGAAAGTGCTCCTGCTACCGATTGGATTGGAGCCGGGATGGGCCCCAACGGCCGGGCTGGAATTTGTTGAGGAGAGAAAAATTCCTTGCCACTGCCGGGAATCGAGCCCTAGCCGTCAAGCCAGCAGCTTCTGTTGCTGAGCTGCGGTCAATCTGGAAACAAAAGAGTGCTGGCGGATCAATTTCTTGGGACCGACCCAGTTCGTGACCGTGATGAAAGTGTTGATAGTGCACACGCGAGCGGACAGATACACAGGGTCACAACCAGGGATCGGACAGGAGAGACATCTGGGAACTTTACACTTTGCACTATTTCTGCGGTTTTTATGGCTGCAGTGGAAAATGTATAGCGTTGCTCTTGTGTCTAAGCCCACCATGAAGGCTAATGAGGGACAAGAAGGAAAGTGCGACGCGCCGGCCGCCCTACGCCCCAGGAAGATTCCTGGTACTCATTTCTGTTAGAGGCTGAGTCGACCCCACGGCCATAGTGCGGCTGGAAGGATTACATCGATTGAAAAATACAATGACTTCATCGGGAATCGAACCCGCGACTTTCCGGCTTGCAGCATAGCGCCTCGACCAACTACGCCACGGAGTGCAGTCGTAATAAATTCATCAGGATAAGCCTGAAATGCACTGAGTGTACAGGATTTCAATAAAAGTAAATTTGTCCCTGCCATAAATTAATCGCTATGCCACGAAGAAATACTGGGGGGTGGACGTAGAGATCCACGATTTACTCCACATTGGATTGAGGTCAGCGGTCAGCATAAGGTTCCAGCCGCTTTACCTCCGGGTATTCAGTCCCCGGTACCCACTGACTACGAGGCTGGGTGGAAACTAGAACCGGGCTGGACTATGGGTCTAAGAGAAAAATCTCTTCCTTTTGCCTAGAATCGAATCAAGATACCTCGATTTTCAAGTCCTTAGCCTAATCTCTGTTCCGACTAAGCTGTTCTTTTAGTGCAAATTTTATGGGTGGCGTCTAAAAATATGGGTTTACTCCTAAAATTTTAATGAATTTATCTGCCCTTCGTTTAAGTCTTTCAGAAATATGAGGATATACTTTTCCACGCTTGTTTACTGTCTGCTGCCCTCTTCAGTGCTTTTTCTCTCTCTCCCTGTCACTTTTTGTTTTCGCCTGCTGCTACTGTGCGCATCACACAATCCTGTGAATCCAAACTATTCACTCTCTTCTTCGTAACCTCGTGGACATGCGAAATGGGCGCCGGCGATGCCACAACTGATTAAATATGCCCAACAGGATGTTCCGGCATTTGCGCATCTTTATAACTTCAGATCAGTGTGAAAATATGAAGAATTTATATCATTTGGGAACGATAGTAACATCAGAATTTGATTTAAGTGAAAATTAAGGGCAGAATTATATCCGGGCAATGCTTGCTACCATTTAGTTCAGAACTTCTGTCTTTCCATCTGTCCAAACGCGTAAGAATTAAAATATAGAAAAGTACAATTATTCTTGCAGTTTCGTATGGACGTGAAACTTCGTCTCTGGCATCAAATGAATAACATAGACGGAAAGTGCAGAACGGGGTGCAGAAAACATCTCTTCCTCTATTGTTGTATTTACAGCGCGTTACATAGCAACGTAAGTTATCCGGTTGTCGCCTGCATATTCGTTGTCATGGGAATATGTTTATCGAGTCGTTGCCTGGCAATGGGTCTACATGTCACAATACAAAACTGTGTTCACGGTGGGAATCTGTGCCTTAAAATTCAAGTCTGCTTCAATAGCACAATTGACGTATAAGACAAAGAGAGAAAAACGGAAAGGAAATGAAACACAAAGAACTACTCGGAAAAGCGACTAATGTCCACAATGCGGTAAGAACATCTGCACAAAGGCGAAAGGAAGTGCAGCGACCCGGAGCTGGGGAGTCACGCATTACAGCGACAAGTCTATATCAACGTCAAGCTATGGACATACAGGCCTATAATGTTCAATTGTGTCATGCTTCCGCTGGTCTCTCCTCGTGTTTCTTGCTTGGATACGCTTACAGACACAGGCGTCCTCAATGCAACTCAGAAAGTTGTAGGCAGGCTTCGTCTTTCTGTCTTCATGTGACATTATTGCGCCTCTGTACACACATGGCGTTCATCAATCTAATTTCAGCCGTGAGTTTTCAACATTTGCTTCAAGCTTTTTACAAAGTTTAGGACCGATTCCTCAACCCTAAATAATATCGCCACTTATCAGCATTGGTAAATACCACCACACACATTATCCGTAAAGCAAAACCGAAATATTTCATTTCCATTGTTGTCTTGATCGGCTACGCTGTAGCGTAGTTGGTTGAGGCACTATGCTACAAGCCAGAAAGTCGCGGGTTCGATTCCCGATGAGCTTTTTTTTTTTTTAGTTTACCTAATTCTTCCAGCCGCACTATGGCCCTTGGGCCGACTCAACCTCTAACAGAAACGAGTGCCAGGAATATTCCTGGGGGGTAAAGTGCGGCCGGCGCTTAACGCCGACAATCTTACCGCCATCTGTGAGCCGATTGTCTAGACAAAATGTGGGGGCCTCGACGTCTCACAACCCTATGGGCCTTAAGGGCCTGTTACAGGGATAGCTTTACCATTCTCTTTTACACACTGGTAACCAAACGAAGTCATTGTTGCGTGACGGGTAACATTTTCAATGCAATATGGCATGTTATTAATGGTCTGATACCCTGCACCCCTCTGCCTTCCCACACGAGCACAAGTGTATCGAACTTCTCGCTTCACGCCAATGCAGTAAGAACACAGGCCCGTTTTATGTCCCAAACAGTTATCATTCTACATCGGCACACTAGCATGTCGGACCGCGAGGTGCTGCCACACCGTTATAAAGAAATTCGTCAGTAATTGCGTGACGTATGAAGCAATTTGCTAATTTATTCATAGAGATCAGCACTGAAAAGGAGCGCAATCGGTACATATGACTTCATGACTCATAACCATATTAAGGAGAGGGATTAATGTGTTCTCGAAAAGTTTTTTCAACGTTTTGTTAGAGAGATATGGCGATAAAACTAATATTACCAATTCAAAGTACACAGTTAGATTGTGAATATGTGAAAATACACAGCGAGAGTTAATCGAATATTTAACCCCATAGCCAGAAAGTAGATCTCATTACACTGCTGTGCTAACAGGAAGATTGTGTTCACTTGTGAGACCCTGAACTGCCGCGCAAATATTGGACCGCTGTCCTTCCATGCTACGCCTTGGAAGTTTGTTTTGTTAAAATGAATTACAGGAAGAGAGCCAGCCAATCCATCACTGTAGCCATCTACGCTAATGCGCTTTGTGTAATCATGAACACAATATCTCACGCGTTGTTATTACAGGTTGTTGGTCGCAGAGACAACTTCGGCCAGCGTCGAGGCGCCGCTGCCGGCGACGCCTCAGTCTGCTAGAGCCGGCATAATCTCCCGGCTGTGTCCCTGCTGTCACAAGTTCTCCACCTGCCTCAAGAAAATGGATTGCCGCAAGTGTTTCCCCAGCAAGTCAATTGCTGGTTCCAAAGTCGGGATTCTCGATGGTTCCAAGGCAGGAATGATCGGGGGGTCAAAGGTCTCCGTGGAAGAAGGATCGAGGTCAGGGCCTCTGCTCCCACCAGCAGGGAAATTCGCATGGCTGAGGAAGCTCATCTGCTCCTGCAGCAGGAAAGGCGGCAAATGCTGCAGTTGCTGCAAGAAGGCGGATTCAGAGACCGCCGATGGCGGGCGCAGAAGGAGCAATGCCACAAGCCGGATGTCCAAGAAGCAGAGTCGGTCCTCCAGCACCGCCGTTGAGGTCAGTGTGTCATATGATTGATCTCTCCTAACTCGACGCTAACTACTTGTGCAGTCGGTATAGCGACGGGCTGGACGGCTGGGGTTCGATTTCCGACTTTCTCTGCTCATCAGCGTCCAGAACGGTTCTGCGGCCCACCCAGCCTTCTATTTAGCGGGTATGGGGGGCTGTTCCCCGTGAGGGTTAAAGCGACCGGGACGTGACTCATATCCATTTAGTGCAAGGGTCAAGAATGGTGGAACTATACTTCCACCCTCACATACGTCTTCAAGGCATAGTGCTTAATTAATTAGCCACAGGAACTTAACAACATTAACTTTCTGGCTTACGTAATGCTAGTAGGGTGGGACTAAGTCCCTTGTACTGCGGCCACTTCTGGCCTATTGTACCAGCCCCAGATGATAGGTGAGGGTGATTGTGGAGCAATTGGTGGAATGAATATTGGCAGGGGAAACAGAAGTACTCGGAGAAAATCTGCCCCAGCGCCACTTTGTCCACCACAAATCCCACTTGACCAGACCCCAGGATCGAACCCGGGCCGCCGCGGTGGGAAGCCAGCGACTAACCGCTTGAGCTATGGCGCGGACCTTTCTGGTTTACCTATGTTCAGATGTTGTTTAAATGATATTGATTTTATCCGAGTCGGAGAATGAACCATCCTCCATAATGATTTTGAATACGGTAGGAACATTACTGTACGAATGTCTAAGAGGTAGAGTCACAATTTCAAGACAATATGATGAAACGTGAGGGGCTGACTTCTGTGGACAGCAGAGTTCACTTAAGTCCTCTTCACATACTTCTGTTCTATAACAGTTCCTGATTTGTTCTGAGAACTTGCAGACATGTTGAAACCGCTTCTTCATACTCATCACCAATCTTTCTGCATATTAAATTTGTAGTCGTCAAATATATTATATTTCTGTCGCATTAAAGGAGAGTATATTTTGAGGTTTGTTTTAAACCTTTCATAGCTACAGCACATAATCTATTTTCCTTGTTTTCTCGCCCACAAATAACAGCCAGATGGATTAGTTGCTTTTCTGTATAATTTCAAACTTGAGGTAGTTTTAGTATTTGTGAAACATAGCTAACGAATTTCAAATAAATCTTTTCTCTCTTGGTCTTCACCATGTGAAAAATTTGGCTCATTCTAATTCCTTTAGAAACCATATGTTTGTGTTTTTATTTCATATAAATATCAGGGGCTCCTTTTTGTTTCAAATGCATATAACTTGTAGATTATTCTGTCTAGACACGACATGGTCAGTCAGTATAGTGATTTATCAATGGGTTGAAAGATCACAAAATAAATTCGATAGCCAGTGAGAAACAAGAGACCATTCTCTTTGTCTTCTTGTCCACAACGATTCTGGTCCTCAGCCAGCCTCGTACCCAAATTCACCGGGGCAAAGCGGCCGAGGCGTGAAGCAGGCCACCCATCTCCATTTAGTAACGGAGTTAAGAAAGTGTGGAGCTTTATCTTCGCTCACCTACAAGTTACAGCGTCTAATTATTGAAGCACAGGACAACTTATCTTCTACCTTTTCATACTCTCTCTATACATTATCGGTTTTGTATTGCAGGTGGACACGAGACCGAAGCTGGATTCCTCGCTGGTGGAGAGTGGGTCCATGATGAGGGGTGCTATTCCTGTATTCCCTATTCCTCTCGCATGGATCTGTCTCTTCTTCAACATTTTTGTTCCTGGTCTCGGTAAGTAACTGACCTTCAGGTTGGCCAAAACAGTTAGCTCTTGAAATAATGTCTGCAGTAACTGTTACCCTGCAACGGGGCAAAAGGTAAACACAATGAATTAAACTACAGTTCGTCACCAGATTCAACCACATCATTTCATCTCCTTCCCGATTCTTGCTATATATTTAATGATGTGGTCAACATTTCAGATTACACAGCGTCAAATTATTAGTGAATAACGAATCGAAAAGGTGTAGACAGAAAAAGCCATGTCCTAATTTGAGGTACAGTAAATCCTCGCTAATATAGTTGTAGTTAATGCGGACTGAATCATGAAAAGAATGTTGTTCGCAGCAGAGCACATATTTCAGAAATACACGTGACGTTTAGGATGGCAGATGAGTCACTTGTCTGTTCAGACAAAACTCGAAAAACCTGTATTATTACGTTCAAACAGGTACAACTTCTGAGTCTTTTATCGATGAATAAATACAGTCTTTTTATAGTTTTTAATCCTTCCAGCCGCACTAGGCCCTGGGGTTTACTCAGCTTCTAACAGAAATGAGTACCAGGAATTAATTAAATAATTTTCCTGGGGAGTAAAGAGCGGTCGGCGCGTAAGGCTGACAACCTTACCGCCATCTTTGAGCCGATTGTCTAGATAATGTGGGACCCTCAACGTCTCACAACCCTATGGGCCTTCACGGCCTGGTACAGGGACAGCTTTACTTTTTTTACTTATATCATTAAAATTTCTATTTATTTGTATTCTAAGTTCTTTTTGCCTTTTGTGGCTACCTTTTGCTTCACTAATCCGGATTAGGGAGGATTTGCTGTATTATCCCGCCATTTCCCTGGAGGAACTGAGGAAAACCACGAAAGATCTCGTAGGATTTGAGGGTCCCATAGCGGTCGTTATGAAGAGTATTATCTTCTGGGGCATAACGCCGTGGAGCCAGTTTAAAGTGAACAGACTTTTCTGAGGAATATATCGCCTCTATCTTCAGGGCCGAAAAAGAAGTCGAGCCCTACTTGCCACCTGCTTTCACGGTGGTACGGTGCTCGGCCTATAATTCGACCCTGAAAATAGAGGCGATATATTCCTGCTAAACTTCCGTTGACTTTCAACGGACTATATAGCGTTATATCCCAGAAGATGTACTCTTCATGAAGGATCTATTTCAAGTCCGTGGGCAGGAATTTGAACCTGGTCCTCCCGAATTTGAAGGAGGGCAAACCATTCGACCACGTTTAGTATATTATGCATTAACATTACGGGCACTATTTAACGGATTCATCTGAAATTCGATTCACGTCACGCAACTGAGACGGCTTAATGTTCATACTTCTAACTGCCCCAGCGTCAGCATGCTGTCCTCACCCACGAACTTCTGAAGTGGGTGCATCACTGATGTCATTCATTTCTTTTCGCTTTCGGTATCGAGACTACATATCGTCGCATGACGGGTCAACTGAGAGACTGGAAACGAAGCGGTAGTCGCCTAATCGAGGTACTATCCCAGCATTCGCCTGGGGGGACTGAGGAAAACGAACTTTATTCAGGACAGGCGGTGTGCCGCCCGTGATCTGAAACAGACACCTCACGAAAAGAAGTCCAGAGCGTTCCCTCTAAACCAGGGGTCTCCAAACTTTTCGAAACGTGGGCCACATTAGGTAATTCAGCACTTTCAACGGGTCGGATAAAATGAGAAATTAATAACTCTAGGTATACGAGTTTTATTGAAAGCACAGAATTTCATAAACTAAATACAAAGTACGTAGGAATAAATTATCGTATATTAATGACGACAGACAGTAGCAGCAAATGCTCATATTTTCATTACAAATTATAATAAAACAGTTGTGAATGATGGAACTCTTTTTGCATTTTTAAAATCTGATTAAATTGAGGTTCACATTTTGAAACGCTAATCACAAGTAGCGACTTTAAATGTTCATCAGATAAATTTGCCCTGTATTTCGAATTGATGTACTTCATCTGGGAAAAAGTTTGTTCACACAGATATGTCGTCCCAAAA